AAAACCGAGTGATTCCATTTTGTTCTATAAAATTTTCTCGCTTTTGCCCATGAAAGGTCTCGAGCTATAATGATATCATTAAAACTCGGTTTATCATCCACCGACGTCTCGCAGAGCGTTAATTTCTTATTTTTGTTAATTTCATGTGCATGTTCTCTAAATCTTTGTCTTATCCTATATGGGGTTGCATTTTATTTCTCTCGCCAAAGTCTACTTTATCAAAATATAATCGTTAATGGGTCAACTTCAGTATATATGACCCTCAAACTCTCCACCAAATATTAAAAAAAATATCCTGGAAAGTTTTGAGGTGTGGACACTGATGACGGGATGAGTGTACGCATACATATTAACTATTAAGTCTGTTAGTTTGCATTTCATCATTTAAGATTTTGGTTAATTGCAAACGGATTCAAACCTGATAAAACTATCTAATTGTATTTCGTTGTGTATACTGAAAACGTATTCACAGCTCCTGGGATACTTCATTTCGGCATAACTTTAAAAGCGTTGCATACTATTTATCTTATTTGAAATAAGTTGTGATCACATCGCATAATTTAAAATTGCAGCCTGGCTTACTTCAAATGTGATGATCACAATTTCTCCCCAAATGGGACTACGGTTTTTCTGGAGAGGAATGCAAGACAGCTCTATTGAGAGCTTCGAGAAAGGGACCTCGTCTCTTAGTTTGCCCATTGTCCCTTAAACTCACTTTGAACATTCAGTGACAAGATCCTCCCCAAAAGCTCTTTTTTATTTCCCCACGAGTTGAGGATTATAAGTGCTAGGAGCTGGTATCGTGGCATTTATACTAAAAATTTGTAAAAATGGATAAATTAATGAGTACTGCACTGTACTTATGTTCGATTTATCGCACTGTGGAGATCAATGCTTTTCTATGGTTCGCTTGTTTTTTTTTCGATATTATACGCAGACGATACAGTTTTTGAGCAAGGAAACTCATCACGGAAAAACTTATTCAAGAACACTCGAGTGGGTCTACGGAATCCAGCAGTTTTATCAACAAGTTATCTCGTGAACAGGCACACCAAACGTAGTAAAGACATGTAATAGAGATCTACTATCAACTGCTGTCAATAAAGGCTTCATTCAAGATAAATTATAAATGAACCTATCATGTTGGACGGCCTCAAATATTGCATATTTTCAGCGCCCTCAATCAATCGCCTATATAATAATCTTTGTCGAACCTTAGCGCAGCAAACAATTCACAATTTCTTCGATTTCCACTTCCTTTGTAAACATGACTAAACAAGCGTTATTCTGTTGCAACAACGGCCTCTTTAATTTCCCAAACAGCTCTAATTGTTTTACACGAAAGCATTTTCAATGATACCCACTATTTTATTATTATTATATTTTTATAACTCAGTCATTTGAAACTTTTACAGGCNACCAACCGATCATTTCACACGAACTGGAATAAGAACATTCTACTGACAACAATCACTCACTTGACTCTGATGATGACTTCCGCACAGGTTGTCGAAACGTCAGTCACTGCCACCGACAACAGTCCTTCTCAGGACTACACTCACCCGGACGATCAGACTACACCTTCACAAGTATGCGAATGATCTCATCTTTGGTAAAAATAAAGTTTTCAATTATCTTTGCCCCTCTTCCTCCGTTCTTGATGATACTGTCCTCGCCGTACCCCCCTGAGGCTCCTGTTGCTTCTATTCTGTATTGACCAGAGTGTGGCACAGTCCACAGTTGAATATCGCGGGACAATGTAACTTGTTCGTTGTGGTCCTGATCTGTGTAATGACTACCGATTGAGTCTGGACCCTGATATCCACTCGCATCAAGGGTTGTGAACACAGCTGTAAATCCTGCGTAATAAACACAATAACACTATCAGCTATCGCACTAGTGAGAAATTGTCAGAATTGTCTTTTACCACAATTATCGCCATGCTTGGGGGTGGGGCCAGGTTGACGGTACAAAGGAAGGAAAAACACTTTGAAAAGTAGTTTTAATGGCAGTAAGATGTGCGACAGTTATCCGGGATAACATCTGTGTAAACGTCAAAGACAGAAATAAGATGAAAAATGCTTGACAGAAGGTAAACAAACTATGCGACCAGGCTATAAGTGAATACTTTTAAAGGAAAAAAAAACATGCAGCGAAGGGAATTTTCTCGATTTTTATCCATCTTTTTCGCGCTCGTGAAAAATTCTTTTCTTGCAATATTTCCCAATGCACAAATTGATTATTTTCATTCAAGAGAAGCTAGAAGGGAATTTTCTCACTTTCTTCCGCCATGTTTTTCCTTTCTTCTCTCCTTTTGCCATCAAATTATACACCCTGATGGGAATAGAATCCCATCTTAATTTGCTTGTTCGTCTGCTTCTTTTTCTGCCTTCAATATTGAAATTTTGGCTTGGTTACCGATCAAGATAAAAAACCGAAATCTTCAGATTTTTTCATAGAAAAATGGCTTAAGTTCATATGAGAAATATCGAGATCTTGGTGGCAATATCCGAAATCTTTAGAGCTGGGCTGGTCTGCTCTCTTGTGAAGAGACTCTGAAATTTTTTTAGAGGGGAAAGATTGGTGAAATTTATCTCGCAAACTTAGCAAGCAGGGTTATTTGAGCTAAGTTAAGAGAATCTCAGACGAATATCATTGATCAAAGCATACACAGATTGTATTAAGAGAAATTTTGAAAAGTTATCTTTCTTTGTAATTCTTTCTCATTGCTGTTGATTCTTCAAATTAAAATGGGAGAGTACAGCCTTATTTTTTACGTGATGAAAAGATAAATGATTTAAAGTGCACCTAGACCCAAAAAATTTTTTTCGCTTAACGAAGTAAGCTTATTTTTTTGAGTATTTCTGCGCAAAAATTTTTTTATTTGCTCAAATCTTCAATTTTCTATGCCCAGTCAAAATACGGAAAATCGGCCGCCATCTTGCCCCACGACCGAGTTTAAAGAGGAATGGCTCTAGTGGGTAATGTGACGTCAAATCGAGAACACGAAAGTCTGCATTTCACACATTTTCACTTGTTTGGGAAGGTTGTAGTCGATAATTGTCCGAAAATATGCCGACTAAGTGTGTTGTAGAAGGATGTAGCAACGTGCGAAATTTGCAAGAGGGTATCGCGCTTCATACATTCTTCATACAACACACCTAGTCGGCATATTTCGGACAATATCGACGACAATCTTCCCAAACAAGTGAAAATGTGTGAGATGCAGACTTTCGTGTTCTCGATTTGACGTCACATTACCCACTAGAGCCATTCCTCTTTAAACTCGGTCGTGGGGCAAGATGGCGGCCGATTTTCCGTATTTTGACTGGGCATAGAAAATTGAAGATTTGAGCAAATAAAAAAATTTTTGCGCAGAAATACTCAAAAAAATAAGCTTACTTCGTTAAGCGAAAAAAATTTTTTGGGTGTAGGTGCACTTTAAATGCCTCTATGTCCTTAGATGTCTACGTAAAGAGGGGTATAAGCAGGTACAAATAGACTTTCTTTTCGATTCCTTAGTACTTCCCCGATTTCACATATGCCCATATGGAGCATCAGACTCCGACCTCACCCCACTACAATGTTTTTTTCGATCGTTGGAAACGGAATTTTATTACAAGAAATCACAATTTACGATCAATTTTACAGAAGCAGTAGTATTTTTATTTTCCAAAGATAG